GGGGGGGTGTTGTGTTAAGTGTGTGACCGTTTATTTTGGAGAGTGACAACAGGTTTGCATGATCAGGTCTCTGAGAACGGAGGGGCTGAGCAGACTCCAGGCGACAGAGAATGGGTGAAATGTGTTGCATTGGATTACGTTTTATTCAGGAGGTTTCATTTATCCTCTGTATTTTTGCAGATTGAATTGTGAGGTCAGCAGTAGCCCAGAGTCCTAACTTGCTCTTGTGTTTGTTGTGTTGAGGGTGGTTCGTACTTCTCTTTAGCTCAGCCTATACTTACCAGTGCAGGTGGTAGGTTCCAGACAGGTGAGGCTATAGAGGTAAATGCCAGTTAATTGTGAAGGGAGGGGGAGAGGAGTCGGCAGCGACATGTGAGGCTGCATATCTTTCTAGTTTTGAGTTCTTTTTCTTTCTCTACTATGAGTTGGTATTGATGGACTTCCCAGGGATTATATTGTCTAACATTTTGTCAGAAAAAAGTAATGCTTTTCAGTGCCAAATAGAATCCACCACCCCAATCTTTGGGCGCTACAGGGTGTTAGCAGGCATTCCTCATTATTTTCTCACCAAACCGTCAGTTACAATGCATCAGTATAATAATCTTCAGATCAGTTGTATTAGTAGTATTATTCATTAGTATTATTATAATAGTCACAGAACATATCTTTATTTTGAATACTTTTGCTTGAAACATACATTTTAAATGCAGGACTTTTACAATGAAGGAATTTTACAGAGTGATTTTTCAATTGTTACTTCAGTGAAAAGTCTTCATCTTTCTTACACCACATTGGAAAAATCTTAAGACGTATGTTGTCTGCTTTTGTAAATGTTTTATAGGTGTTTAATGATAATAGCATATATAGCCTACTATGAAAAATTAAATGTTGAAGCCATGGAAAATGTTGCATTTTACTTATTCAGCTTAGCTGCTTTGATATAATTCACCTAAAGGTAAACAGTATTGGGCACAATATACTGTATGTATTAATAAAGAATCTGTCTTGTCATATACTTTTCTTTTTTCCTGTAGAATTTAAACTCTAGTGTGATAAACAAAATTTGCAGGAAAAAACTGTTCAACCTTTGTCCTTAGTCAGTGTAGTGTTGATTTAAGGCACGAGCTACTGCTGGAGATTGGGTCAAATGTGTTTGACAAAGGAAGGACGCCTCAGTGGAGGTGATCTTAAATATTCTACATAACCAGTCACATATTGAGCAATTTCTGGTCAGTTTTGAAATATCTAAAGACAAAGAAAGCCAGGGGATGCTGAATTGTTTTATTTCTTTTCCAATTTTTGAAACTGATATTTTTATATTAGCGCACAGAATAGAATACTCTTAGGGATACTAAATTAAAACATCACAAATGATCCTGTGAACAAATACCAAGCTGCTTGAAACTTGCATTTGCCATGAAGACAGTCAGCAGAATATTCATTCAAAACACATTTCATGGTAAATGACGCTTGTGCAACAGAAGCAACAATAAGCCTACACTTAGGTCACACCTCCGACTCAAGACAATTTATATACAATAAATCTGCCACAGTTTTATAACTGACACACCCACACACTCTCTCTCACATACATATACACACAGTCAATGTTTCCTTCCATTATGCATCAAGGGGCACGGGACACATGGACAGACACACCAGATTGAATGCATAGAAGCAGATCTGTGTCAGAACAACACAGTCTCCTCTGTTGGAGTAGAAGGAGGTGGGCTTGATGTAGGTCCAGTCAAAGTTCCGCAGGTTCAGTGACCTCTGACAGTGCTGATCGCTGAGCGCCACCAGGGCTCGCACAATGGCATATTTGGCTGAGCAGCTGATGGCCGTCACCGTCCGCACCTTGTCAAAGTGCAGCAGAAAACATGGGTCATCCTGGAACCAGAGGACACAGAATGAGACAGCATGACGTATGTTACATATACCTTCTGAAACCAGAGCATTGATTTAATAATCGTGTAAAAGATCCCCAGATAGATGATTACAGCAGATACTAAATCAATTAATATCAGAGGGGGGTGGTGAGGGTTGACAATTATTATGATTTATCTTAAATGTTTTTAAAAAAGGAAAAGTATTGATAAAAGATTTAATTAGTTTCTCCAGATACAAGAGGTTGTCACATTATATCTACAAAAAAAGAATTGCATTCAGATGATAGAATGCTAAAGAATCTGTAATTGTTCCCTGAACGAAAACTTTAGTGTTTGACTAATGTAATTTGGTTGAAAGCTTCAGATGACTCTATTAGACCTTAAGGTTCAGATTCCTTTGTCAAAACCATATTTCTGCATTAATAAAGTAGATAAGTGAGCACAGTAAATTGATGCTGAAGATTGTTGGTATATCTTTTGTATTGCTATTATTTCTTATGTATTTTGTCTATTTATTTTTATTTAGGATCCCAACAAGAAGCAGTTGATTTCTGTAATTTAAAATGTAAAATAATTAAATTTATAACCATTGAAAATTATAGCTGGAGATAAATTACACAGTTCCAAAGCTTTTGTAATTATACAGAATAAAAAAGGGATTTTGAGAACATTTTACATGTGAAACTCATATTTTAATTATGAAAACTGATGCTTTAGAATATGGATATATAAAAAATAAGAAATATGACAACATTAAACAAGTGAAAATTTGGATTAAATCTGTTTAACTACCACATCGGGGTCCCGTCCATCAACAAGAGTCAGGTCATGCAGGGACCAGACCTCAGTCCTCCTGTAGCAGTCCTGGATGCTGGAGCGTTTAGTGTCGGACTTTTTGGAGCCAGACTTAAGTGACGGCTGAGAGATCTGACATCGCACTATACACAACTGCACCACTTTGTTTTTCTCAACTGTAGAAAAATCAAGAAACAACTTTTTTTTTTTTAAAGTGAACAGGTGCAGTGCACAGGCACAGTAAAAGTAAGACCTATAGTAGACTTTACATAATCAGGGTTTAAGATAATAATTCATACAATTATCATAATTAATTGACATTGTCGGCACATTTTCTGAAAGCATCTTTAAAAGATTGTTAAATACCATAATCATTTAAATGTTTATTCAAGGCATCATAGGAGGACACATGACCTGAAAATGTGTTCAGTAGTTGAACATATTTATTCTTTAAAAACTGCTTTCAGTTTCCCAACAACAAGCCATTTACCTGCAACACAAAGAAAATGTCGTCCCTGCGTCGGCTCTTCTATCTCAATAAACTCCACCAGTCTCTGTTTGGAAGGTCGGAATAAAACTCTCTGCATCTCCTCCCTCAGAAGAGACGACATCACTGGGGAGAAGAAGGAGAAAAATCAAAGCTGGACAGTTGTTGAAAAAGCCTCACGTAAGCAGAAGAACAGTCAAGGAAGAAGACCACAAAATAAAAGAGTGACAGGAGATGACAAAGAATCCAAGAGAGAAAAAGAAAGAGAGTTGAGAAAAAGATGATGAAGATCAGTGTGGAGGACGACAGTGGAACCTGGCAGTGAAGAGGAGGGAGGAGGCTTGCTCTGGTCAGACCGTGTGAAAATATATGGTTGTGTGTGAAGTGGGAACACACACACACACACACACACACACGCACACACACACACACACACACCCATTCCTCTCTGGTGCAGGGAAATCTTTCATTACAGCACTGCCTTCCTTCATACTCATACTAACTACCCAAGGAGGTATTTAGTAGAAGGGGAGCAATTAAAGGTCAATGTTTTCATCATTTTACCCTTTTATTGCTTCAATTAAGATCCATTATGATGATCCTGATATTGACCCAAGTTTCCTGCAAATATGGATTTCACTCTTGGATTTGTGTTTACATGAGTCAGGTGTATCTGACACAAAGCAAAGATGGAGACTTAAAGTAGTTTGTATGTGGTCATACTGTATGTTCCCTCACACCAGACATAGACAGTCTCTCTGTGTCTTTCCGTGGTCTTTCCGTCTCTCCTCCACTCACTCACTCAGTCACTCACATAGAGACATTGATATATAATGTGGCACCATGCCCAATGTTTGTCTGTGATTAAACGGTTGTTTTGTGGGAAAAGGATGTCCCACAGCACTCACAGCAAGGGTTTCCATTACCCTGTAGTAATTCAATCCCGGAGAACAGTTACAAGTGAGGTGAAGCACTTACATTTTTCACCAGCACATAAAGGATGCAACACTTCTTTAGTGATCGTGTCTCCACAAAGCAATTTGCTGGATGTACTGATAAGCACACAGAACATAATATCACACTTTTGATCAGCTCCAGTTCATGAGAGGTGAAATGAAACAGCACAGGACGACTTTTACCTAAAAAAAAAAACAACTGACACCAGAGTGTTGATTGAATTTGCATTGCATTTGTCACATTTGTGAAAACAAAGACGAGTCTCTCCGCAGCTAAGTGCTTTATTGTTGTAGTTGTTGATGATAGTTTTTGTGGGTGTTCACTTGAGAGGCTTTTTGCCCCTGAGATGGAAAGATGAGCGGATGGGCAG